AGAGCTCAAGAACTCTCAGCATGGCACAGCTACATACTGACCTGGAGAGTAGTACAGTGCCTCAGCTGTGATATGGGCATCACGTTCAAAAGTGGCAATATATTCAGTCTTTCCATAGTGTTATTGACACTGTGGTTCCAACATATTGGAGAGCATCAGATAGGGAATTTGTTCAACTGATATGGGAGAGGACAAAAGAAAAGAGAAGAGAACACACAGTAAACACTTCTGCCCAACTCCCACTGAGGTGTCTATAAGTGTGAACCAACAGCTTGTCAAAGTGAAAAGGCCACATTGGCATGCAGAGAATAGGAGGAAGAAGGCCACATGCCACCCACGAGGTGACAAAGAGAATGACTCACTTGACCTTTGCAAGGGGCACTCCTACATGTAAGCTGCTGTCTTCACTGTGATCATAAATTAATCCTGGAAAGCAAATGTGCAAAAAGCAAATGTTTCTGGACTTTCAACTTACTCCCTCAAGGCTGTTTATTGCACCTCTACATAGTGGCATGCAGGGGTGTGATGTGTGACTGATCCATCTCCATCATTGGACTGCAGCTTCAGAACGAGAAGCAGTGATTGATTGCCAAATGATTCTCAAAAAAGACTCAATTCCCAGAAATACTGCTGCATGGACCAAAAAAAAAATAAACAATTGACTGTCATGAAAGTGGTGATGAGGCTGAATGTGTTTTTTTTGTGTGTGTGTGTGTGTGTGTTTGTGTGTGTGTGTGTGTGTGTGTGTGAGTGTGTGGTGTGCATATTAGTAAAATGATGAATTAAACACAAGTGGGCTGAAAGTTAAACAGGCTAACGTTATACAAGGAAATGGCACTGGACCTAACCTTGACCCAGCTGCTTGTTCTTATCTGATCTTTTTGTGTCTAGGGTCTGTGACCTCTTCTTCTTGGCCAAGAGTAGAGAAAACGGAATTCCAGAAAGAATCATACTATTTCTGAAAACTCCAACAACTAAATAAATCCATAAACCTGTAGTTAGAAAACAGATCCCCCATCTGTCCTTATCTGACCATAAAAATGGGGAAAATCAGCAAGTAGAGGACAAATCCCCTCTGAGAGAGGGTAGGAGACCCTAGTGGTGTAGCAGTCCTATGGCAATAGACCCCTGCCCAAGAACCTGCATGATACCCATCTCTTGTGACACACTGGACTTCTAAGTGTCATGACTCATTTGGTGATGGAATGACTCTTTCAGAGGGAAGGCATCTCAGATACACTGCATAACAGATATTTACATTATGATTGATAACAGTCATGATTACAGTTATAAAGTAGCAAGAAAAATAATTCTATGGTGAAATGTCATGTGAGGAATTGTATCTAAATGGTCATGGATTTAGGAAGGTTAAAATAGTCATTCTAGAGCTATTAAGAATGACAATATGGGGTTGTGTGTAGCTAATAGTCTTTCACTATTGGCAATGCTGAGAATGAGAGGCATAAGACAAAGCACTACTTGCTAGGTAAGCTTGCTAAGAGGCAGAAAGGCTGGAGCCAGAGGTTTAGAATCTGCAGTACAGCAAGAAGGAAAGCCAGAGATGGCCATTGCACAATGTTGTGGTCCCCTGAAAGACAGGCACTTAAAAATAGAAGACGGATTCTTCATCCAGATCATTTAATTTCTCTGAGGCCTTGGTCTTGTCATACTTAAAGCTCTGCATGTGTGACATGACCTGCTTATGTTCCATCTTGAGCTTTTCATAGAAAGGATTTGGCGGGTGGTAGGTCCTGGACATAGAGGTTAAAGAACTCCATGAAATTAGGCCTCAAGTATCACAGAAATTGAGGGTGTAATCTAGACTACTGGACGTCAGGGGTGCCACATCCTGTTTCCTAAGTACTGGGAACTTCTGGTATTTATTAAACTTGCTCTTGTAGAAAAAGAGGGTTGGCTAAAGACATCCATCCTGACCCTGGAGCCCAGAACTAGGGAAAGAAGACTCAGATTAGGGTAGAAAGAAACACAGTTTGGCTCAGTCAGATCAGAGACATCTCTGCCCCTGGCCAACTGACTTGTGAAACCAACCAATCACAGAGCAGGACAGTAGAACCCTGGACATGAAGCCAAACCCTGCTTGACTCCATCCCCAAAACATCTTGAGTAATCTGCCCTCCCTGGTCAGCTAGAAAAAAAGGCCTTTTTCTCCACCCTGGTAGAGGAAGCTACACTCCTGGACTCCTCCTTCCCAAATAAATCTCTTTCTCAAAAGAGTTTTGCATGTGAACTCTTCATTCACTGGCATAGAGAAGATCCTTGTTGAGACTTCCCTCAGTGGACAAAACAAGAGAGAGGGGGGGCTGAAAGAGCAGAGCAAGGAGGAGCTGAACAGAAGATCTTTGTTCAGATGTCCCTCAGTGGACAGAGCAATAAAATGCTAAAAAGTAACACTTTTCTCCAGAGCTGGAGGACATTGCTACATTTCGGCAGGAGTTTTCCCTTTTGCAGAGTGAAGCAAAAAAGCAACATCTTAGGGCAGAGAAGCAGGTAGTCAGAACACCTTTCCCTGGAGTTGTTGCAACAAATTTACTTACATTGTTGGTGCTAAAACCCAGGACCAAACCCCCAGAGTTGCACACAATTTACTTACAGCTATTCTGACCTTAGGCCAGCAGAGGCAGGCTGTTTAGATGATGGGAGGTGAAGCTGCATGAGCTCTCTCAGTAGGTTTGCTGAAATAGCAGTCTAAGAATTTCCCTAGTGTCTACTCCACAGTTGCATACCCTCTAGAATCTGTGAAGATGTTACTCCTGTCTTAAAAACAAATTCTCAATGATGGTACCTCTCACAATGGAGACCAAAGTAATATCATGAACAGTTTTGAGGATGGGACTCAACATCATGACAGATTTATAAACTCCTCAAGCGTATATCTATGTGTGACTAAAGTAAGTACACTGGTAGAACTATAATGCTCAAAGTGGTGCTCCAAATTTTTACCAAGGTATCACCTGGGAACTGTGAGATATGGAACTGCTCATGCCCAACAACAGATCCCTGATTGCAAGGACTAGGGAAAGATACAGGCACAAACACATAGAAAAATACACAACACATACACATGTGTGTGTGAGAGACAGAGAAAGAGATACTTAGAGAGACAGAGAAAGAGAGACTGAGTGAGAGTGAGAGAACTCTATCAATTGGATGCTGAACAAATGCATGCAAGTGTTTCATCTAAGAGAGGAATAAAAGGAGCAGGGATCAGTCTCAGTCCCTGTATCCACACATTTAGGTGTGTGACTAGGCTTCTCCAACTGCTGCTTGGAGAATCAAACACACAAGGCCTTTCCAAGTAAGTAACAGACAAAAATCAACTCATACTCACAGCAACTAACATCTCACACTAGCCAGCACTTGATAGAATCTCTTCAAATGCATACGGGGAACTCACATACTACTGCCTCAGTCCATGAGAACTATAACTCATGCTAGAGGCTCTGTTTTTGTTTCTTTTTAGAGGAAGCAGAATAGTCTGTGTCCTCGTGTCCTCATGTCCTGTCCCCTTTTGAGGTTCTGCCTTTGGGAAGAATTCAGAGACATGACTTTGGGCAAAGGGATACCATGAAAATGCAGCCTACCAGAAACACAGGACATATATAAAATTGATTAATGATGACAGAGTGGAGCTGAGATTGAAACCACAGGGTTTGAAAGAATGAATACCTATTCTTCATGCTCTCTTCTGTGATAAAGATCAGGCGATCTCACTGGTACTTTCTTTCAATGGTCATTTGCTCTAGCTGACTGGTCAGTCACTGCACCTTCTGCTTCACCTGCATCTTGGTTAGGGAGATTTGATGGGAGGTTGGCTCCCTGTTGCTCTTTGTTGGTAGATGAACACAAATTACCTTGCAGTATGACAAGGCAAAGAGGATGGACAGATCACCCTGAGTCTTAATGAAATGTTTGAGAAAGCTTGTTTACCAATGACTCAGTGACACCCCAAATTATTTTGTCCCATGCTTCAGATGCCCCCTCTGAGGAACTCAGCTGTCTCCCCTGTTTGAAGGGAAGTGGTTGTCCCAGCTATCTGGTTCTCTCTGCCTCATAGAATATGCTCCAAGTAACCAAGGAGATAGCCTTTTCAGGTTAATTCACAGGGGGAGACTTGGAATTCAACTTGGCTGCAGTGTCCACACACCAGTGGGCTTACAAGTCACAAGAAAATTGCCATAGTTCATAATCACCCCAGTCATTTAGATTTTCCCCAAATACCTTGACAGGTCACTAAGCATATAACTATTGATGGAGAAGACATATAAGGGCAGAATGTGGTCACCAAACTCAACAAGTCACCTCAATGACAACTCAGGACACACAGAGAAGCTGGGAAGTACCTTAAGTTAGCCAGTGTGGTTGAAGTACAGTGATGTCCTGCCTTGAAATGGGCACACCTCATTAATCCCTCCCACTTTAATGTTGGACTCATGTTCACACATCAATACCTATCCTCCAAAAGGGATGAAAGTCAAGAGTTCCCAGCATAAAGCTTTGGCCTTACCAGTTGCTGACCTCTGAGCGAGAACAATTAATATCCTGGAATCCTTGAATTTCAAGAGCCATGACAAGCAGGGAAGTTCTGTTAGTTCCCAGAGACTCCAGCTTTCTGGGCCCCATTACTTGAAGATTCAGCTCAAGCCCACTTCCGACAGGAAGCTTCCATTTTCCTGCACAGAACTCATTACACCCTTCTCTTGACCATTTCTTACTTCATGTTTTACATTGAGGTTAAAGGTCAGCTTTCTTCTGTCACTCTCTGTTTTTCTATGCTCTCCATTCTCTTTCTGAATTAGACTCTTCAGTATGACATCATGTTCATCAGTAAATGGTGAAGGCACTGAATAAACTTCCCAAGGGCAGGTTGTATTGCCACAACATAGGTGACATCACAGATAATGCCAGGGCTCTCCAGGATACAGTAGAATGTCCAGGGAAGAGCTGCAGATGTCATGGGAACTGGCATTGCTTTCCTGGTAATGTGCTTTCCTCACCATGCACTAGAAGTCAAGTTGAACTTTTTAGGAGCCTCTGCTGTGATACAAGGGAAGCCCTTCAGCATCCCCTTCATCCAAAGCCAGAGATCTCTCCCCGATAGATAGGACATCCATTAGTTCTTTCATTGTGTGGAACTGAATGTTTATCTCCTACTGAAATGTTATGTATACAAGGTAATAATCTCATAGAAATTCATATATGCTAAAGTTCATCATAAGTACCTGCATCTGAGATGACTGGCCACACTAGTAGAAGCCAATGAAGTGTGGACTGGTGGCTGTGAAGTCCTGATGGGCCTGGACTAGGTCCTCTGAATACAGAAGATGGTAGTTTGGCTCGAACTGTTTAGGGACCACCCAGGCAGTGGATCGGGATCGGTCCCTGTTCTTTGGACAGGCTTCTGTAACCTGGTTCCTGTGGAGTGACACCTTGAACAGCCTTGGTTCAAGGCTTCCCTTAGTAGGGAAGGGTTTGTACATGCCTAGGCTCAGAGTGCTGGGCTCTACTGACCCCCATGAGAGACCTCAATTTGGGGTGTGTGGGGATGTGGTGTGCTTGGGAGAGAGAGCTAGGGGTGGGTAGAGGGAGAAAAAAGGTCTGTGGATAGTATGTGGCGTGAGTAGAAAATTTCTTTATAATGAAAAATGAAATAGAAAACAAAGCAATTCAAAAAACAAGTAAAATTAAAAAAAGTACCTACATCTCCTTATCTTTTCAGCCACAAGACTTTTTAGACTTAATGCTGACTGAGGAGAACACCTGTTAAAGAACTTCCTGGTAAAGAGTCTACAGGAAACAGCTAGGCATAGTAATGCTAGAGAAAGAAGCTGACACAGCCTAGGAACAAGTACCCATAGGAGCGTGATATGGTCATGGATCTCAGTATGACTAGAATCTGTTTCATCAGCATGTGTGTAGCGGGTGTTATACTCTCTGTTGAGTAGCTCAAAGTATTCTGCTCTTACTGGGTAGTAAAGATGGCCATACAGCTGGAGTCTTCCACATAGAATATGAGTTTCCCTTAGAGCAAAGGATATTCAGGCAAATCCTTTGCAAACCCCTTCATAGTTAGCAACGTAGTTACTTGGGTTCCACTGGACACTCTAGATCAATGGTTCTTACTTTGTCCCAATTCTCTGACCCTTTAAATCTTTAAATAGCATAAACAGTAGTTCCTCATGTTTTGGTGAGCCCTAAACATAGCTGTTTCATTGTTTCTTAACTTTTATTTTGCTACTGTTTTTTTTAGATTTATTAATTTATTATGTATACAGTATTCTGTCTGCACATATCCCTTCAGGCCAGAAAAGGGCTCCAGATCTCATTACAGATTGATGTGGTTGCTGGGAATTGTACTCAGGATCTTTGGAATAGCAAGAAGTGCTTTTAACCTCTGAGCCATCTCTCCAGCCCTAATTTTGCTACTGTTATGAATCATAATTCAAATATTTGATGTGCAGGATATCTGATATTAGACCTCATTTGGGTGGTGATCCACACAGGTTGAGGACCAGAGCTCTGAATGCAGGCAGAAATCTCCTCAAAGCCTGGCAGTGATGCTGGGGCAGTGTGACTCTAAGTTTTGAGACAGGGTTTCTCTGTGTAGCTGTGGAGCCTTTCCTGGAACTCATTTTGGAGACCAGGCTGGCCTTGAACTCACAGAGATCCACCTCCATCTGCCTCCAGAGTGCTGGGATTAAAGGCATTCAATGCCACCGCCCAGCGACTCTTAGTTTTTCTTATCAGACTGAATCAAACTAGTCACCTCGGAAGAAGGACCCTCAATGTGGAATTGTATAGATCAGATTTACTTTGAGCAGGTCTCTGTGGCGTTTTATTAATGGTTAATTGAGTTTAGAGTCTCTAAAATGGGCAGAATGATTTCATTGTCTGCAACCTGTACTGTGTTCTATGAAGAAGCATAAGCATAAGCAAACAGGCAGCATGGGTACATTTGTTTATATCTGCTCTTGGCTGTGGGTGTGATATGATTAGCTGAGTTCCTACCTTGATTTCCCAAAAATGGAACTATTACCTGGAATTGTGGGCTATGATCAATTTCTCCCATTCTAAGTTGCTGTACCTGGTAACTCAGTGTAATAAAGATGTTAAGAAAGCACTCTATGACAGAGGGGTTTTCACAAGTCAGTGAGATGTGTATTTCATGAAATGCTCAACAGCACCATATCTGTCTCAGAAGAAGAGATCCTACTTCCTCCTGAACCCAACCTGTGTTTCCTTGTCACAGTTTTCCAAAGGCACAGAGACACCCATAGACTCACAAACCACTTCACCCTGTCAACAAATGTCCCCTGATATTGTTTTGCCATATCAAGTACTATGCTAAATTCTTCTAATGTGTTATATACAACAACCTTCACTTCAATGAATGAATTTTTCTTTGAATTTCCTGACCATTAAAATTTTCAGATGAGGGGAATTGGATCTGAATCCACTGCCTTGACTATGAGTTTCAATCTTATGGTATGTCCTTCCTTGAAGGTCAGAAGAAGCTCCTTCAAGCTGAGAGCAACGTAGCACCTTAAATTCCATGTATGCCTGGGAATAAGTAATGACTGGCAATGTGTCCATTAGTTACCTTAGATAGGAGATTAACTCAAGGGCTGACATACAAACATCCCTGTGAGGACTTCTTGGTTTCTGTCTATCTTCTGTGGCTCTTCATTAAGGCTTCTGTAAACAGATCTTTGAAAAATTTGTTCCTTCAAAAGTAAATAGATCCTGTCAGATGTGAAAAGTCATGTTGATTTTTTTCCTTCTCCTCCTAGAACGTGAAAGATGCACTTTTGTGCTACATGAAGGGTTATCCAAGGAGAATAAGGTCTGAAATAACCAAAGGTACAGGTTTAGAATGCTGGTATGAGGGACAGAGTACAAAACAAGGGCAGGACAGCAGGAACACCCAGAAAATTCTTGGTTATGACTTGGCAGTTCAGCCTCTCTTCATGTTAGTTTCTTCTACCTAGAGAAAGATGGCTTGGGATGCACCATGGAGATGGGTGCTGTCTCAAGGCATGACTTATAAAATCACTTCCGTCATAAGTGGGACTTTGTTTGTTTGTTTGCATGTTTTTTTGGGGGTGGGGAAGATGAGCTAGCATTTATAAGAGCTAAGCTGCACATCTCTTTCTGATGATCATCTCTTTCTGGGAACAGAGGAATCAGATCCTGAACTTACCAAAAATGCTGAAAATGGTGCATTAGATCAGAGAATCACTTCACTTGTTTGAAAAAATTATTAGCACTTCTCTTCATGACTGTTACCATATATTGTGTGTGGCTCCTGTCCTTTGCCATTTGGGAAGACTCACCAGCTAGCTACTTGTTGATTAACCACTTTCA